AGGGCCAGGCCACCCCAACCCCCCACCCGAGCCCGACCCCGGGGACCCTCACACTCCAAGTTCGGGGCTCCGTATCGGACCTCCAAGAACTGCAGGCCCCACGGGTTTTGACCAACCGCGGCTCGGTTCCCCCTAATCCCAGAACCCAGGCCTGGTTCTGCCGACACCCCCGGTCCGCCCCACAGGCAGGTACTTCCCGGAGCTAGCGGGCAACGCCACGTACCCCAGCGCGCCCCGACACACCATGGCCCCCCGAAACTGGGGCGTGCAAGCGGAGCACAACACCCCAGGTGAGACCACGCAGGTCCGTTCCCGCTGCGAGGCCCTTCCCACCGTCCCGGCACCTACACGGTGCCCCCGGTCCTGGGCCCGCGAGTCATCAGTAAGGTCTCCGCCCCCACCTACTCCCTCTACGGCCGCAGCGTCGTGGGCAGCTTCTTTGAGGACCTCAGCAAGGTGAGGGGGCTGCGGGCTCCACGTCGGGAGGGGCAACTGGGAGCGGGTAAGGAAGCCCGGGGCTGGGGTCAGTGGACAACGGGAACGGAGGCCCAGCCCTGCACCCCTCCCGCAGACCCCAGGTCCCGGCACCTACCATGTGGTGAACCCCGGCATCTACAAGTCTCGGGCCCCCCAGTTCACGATGCAGCCGCGGACGGCGCTCCCCCAAGACAACAGCCAGAACCCGGGGCCCGCAGCCTACAATGTGGACCAGGTGATCTGGGGTCCCGGGGCCAAGGGTCAGATCCCGGGGGATGAGAATCCGGGTCCAGGATGGAGGGTCTGAGGCCCGAGGTTTGGGACCAGGGCAGGGGTGGGGGCAAAGGGGAGACGGGACGGGGATCCTGGTGCGGAGCTGCAGGGTCGGCCTGCGAGGTCAGCGGCGACTCCTGGGCCCCCAGTACCGGAAGCCCGGCGGCTTGAGCTTCGGGATCCGACACTCGGACTACGTGGCCCAGACCTTGGCCGAAGTGGACGACTGATGGGCCGGCGGGCGCGGCCCCACAAACCTTTGCTTAAAGCTTCGGGAACCAGCCGGGTGTCCGCCTCTCTGTGCGCCCGGCCCGGAGAGGGCGAGGGGGCGGAAGGGCTGGGAGTGGGGGGCGGCGAGTCCGGGAAGTCGAGTCCCGGGGGGCCTGTGATTGGCCGGAACCAAAGAAACCAAAAACGAAAGCCGCGTCTCCAGGCCCCGGTAGACGAGCTGGTGCGAGCTTCCTCCCCGGGTGCCAAGCTTGCTGTTTGGACCGTAGTCAGGGCACCTACCAGTCAGCCAATGAGTGCATCGATAAGTAAAATAACTACTTTATGTTTCTCTCTCTTTTCCTCTCTAAAATCCAATAAAAAAATATCCTCAGGTGAGAATTGAAAATAAAAAAAAACCTGGGGGATGGGGGGTCATGTGGGGATAAGGACACGTATGTAATAACTTAATCAATAAAAAATTTTAAAAATAAAAAAAAAACCTGCCCTGGCCTGTCTGCTCAGTGGTTAGCGCGTGGGCTTGCGCACCGAAGGGTCGGGGGTCGCGGGTTAGACTCTGGTCCAGGGCAGGTCCCTGAGTTGCGGGATTCTCCCCACCCCCTCCCTTCCTCCCTCCCACTCTCTCTGAAAAACAATGGCAAAGATATCATGTGAGGATTAACAAAAAACAACAAAAAACACGTAGTAAGTAATTTTTGAAAAACACAGCATCCCGCCTCCTCGAGGCGGCGATTGGTCCAGAGTCCTATCTGTATGAGGCCCCGCCCACCTGCCGTCTAGGGCAGCCAGTGACCAACGGGTCCGCCCCTCCCTGTGGGGAACTCACTGCCCCTGCCTGTCGGGAACTGCCCCTGCCTGTCGGGAACTGCCCCTCCCTGTCCCCGCGGAGTCTTAAGTTCCTGGAGGGACAGGGCGGAGGCGGGCAGGAACCCGAAGCAGGAAAGGCGAGGGCCGCTGTCCGGAACAGGTAGGAGCCGGGGTCCCGTTATGAGACTGAGAAGTGGGAGCTGGACCCAGAGACACGCACGTGGGCCACACAGACCAGGC